CTAAACGGTGATGGTATCTGCCCACAAGCCCACGTGATGTTACCATCCAGAAGTCCAGCCTCTACAATATTAAGATGAATCTTAAAATGAACCCTCATGCTCCATAAAATACAAGTTTCTCCACGACTCTGCACAATAAATTTTGTTATTTACGAAGCAAAACGGAAATATTCATACTCCGAGTGGGATACTAATCCACCACCTCAGATCAAGAGTTTTGCATGAACCTGTGAACACTACATCGGGAAGCCATTGTCATCGACTTTGTTCTTGTGACAGGGCACACAAAGTTCACAGTGTACACCTTTCTGCAACTCTTTATAAAGAACAGAGATAAAACACAGACTATTTTCTATAGAATGATCGAAAAGCCACGCAATCCACTCCTGGCACACATTCTCTATTAGTAAAAAAATGAATTACTCTTATATCATGAAAACGCTATGTTATGTTTAATGTCGGAAACGTCCAGCGTTCAGCGATGCATGCACTCAGTTTTCCCCCGTGTTTGATGCAGCCCGGTTAACACGTCCTGTGTCGTTTGCTTAAGGCTTAGGCGTATCTGGCAGTGGCTTCGTTTATACTTCCATCTACCCTGCAGGTTTTCATGTCGTTCCCTCCAGATCCATATTATAACACAGGAACTTCATTTTGAGAGGCTTGTTCGCATTCACACGCATCAAACATTCTTCAAGGAGATCTCACAGTCCAGTTACGAAAATATAACTTACATGCATGCCACTTAGTTAAATGCTGCGTTACACATCAGTAAACATTTCACTGTTGAAAGCATTGACACGCCGTGTTGACTGTTCAAAGGATATTCCTCTTACTTCCAAGTATCGGCTACACACAGTCTGTTGATCAAGTATTTCCAACACCATGAACACCACGGATTAAGCTCTAGACCTATTTTGGTTGCAAGGATCATAACTGTTCCTTCCGTATGTTCTGGGATGTCCCTAGTGCCCTTTAAGTTTCCTTTCATACCGACTGAGCAGCTTCGAGACTCGGTTTTCCCAGTTCCTGATGAAAACTGATAGCACAAGATCTTAGATTCTCACGGCGGTAGCTATGAAGATGGCTGTCTTCTGGGATGTTGCACCGGTAGAAAGTGGCCACATTTCAGATATACTGTCTCCAGTGTTAACTATATGCACCACCTTATTTAACAATTTTAACTCTTCATTTTGCATTTTGCACTTAGACTTAATGATTATTTCCTTAAACAGAATTAACCAATTTTGTTATGAAAACGCGTTGAGTTTTCTTTGTGGTTGAACACAAAATTATTTTTTATGAGCTTCAGGGTGTTGAAGGGTTGACATAAATGACTGCAGTGAATATCTGCTACCCATCTCGTTAAGGTCACTTTGCGTCAGGCAAGCGGAATTCCGTATTTTTCAGGTACTGATTATTACAATCATTATCATAGTAATGAGTTAATAAAACAGACTCACTTGGGGCTGCAGTGCCATAGGACTCATAAAGCAATCGCAAGAAATAGCAGATTTATTTCTTGAAAGTACATCTGAAGTTGCACGTTTCTACGATACTAAAAACAAACCTGGGAGAAAAATACTGAATTTTTAACGTAGGACTTCTTGATTTAATCAGTAGTGAATAATTTAACGTTGTCTTAATCGACTATAAAACAAATGGCATAATTACCGCGACACAGCCTACTCAGTTTGTTTGCTTTTGAGACAACTTCATGGGTTAAGTATTTCAGAAACACGAAACAGTGGTGGCAATTTTCACCGACTGTAGCAGCTCCTCTCGACTTTCTCAATCTGTACCCAGGACAAGGAATATGAGTGGCCTACGGCGGG